AATGAAACCTACACGGCCAGGGGGCACGCTAAACAAGAACCAGAGGTTGGGGGAGCCACGCTGGGAGGAAACAACACACTGCACCCACCCCAGCGACACTGAAACATTAATGCATATAGAGGATGGAGGAGACTGAGAGGGGAACTTATCAAACGAACTAACAGACACACTGACACTAGGGATCAAACCCTAATCTGGACTACACTAAGACGCAAGGACACCCCCCCCACAACCCCACACTCATGCCAATAGGCATTGTGAGACGGGGCCATAGAAGATACAGGCGGGAAGAAGGTGACTGAAAGACACAACATGCTCACCGACCACCCCCCACCCATCCCATCATCCACACTCTAGACACATTACAGACGAACGACATTAAAGACTGAGAGACGATTACAACCTGCAAGGACAAGCGAACGACAAGACCTATAACAACAAATAATATCATAACGCAGAGTGAGCGATCTCAAACCACAGGACCATAGCTAACGCACCTGACAGACTGTAATTAATCAATCTACAACATGCTAAGTGAATATCGTAAATAGAAATTTATTGTGTCAGGAGACCTGCGAGACTCAACCACTTTTGCACCCTCAGAGATCTGCGCATCTCAAGACCTCAAACGAGATTCTAACTGATTGAAACCTGCGTGTTTCGCACTGCTCATAACCTCACTGCGAATTGTTCACCTCGCAAACACTTTAATAAAACGATATTTAATAAAGACCTCTTTAAATAACTAGCTTTAGATACTGTGTAACATAAATAATAGGAATTGGCTTGTTTGGTAAAAGTATTACTTAACTAAAAGGCAGTTCTGGCACTGGAAGGGTTAATTCACCCAATGAAGGAGAAATTAGAAGTCCGTTTCAACAAGCTGAGAACTAGGAGTGGAGAGTGGGGAAGTCCGTTTTAACAAGCCGAGGTCTGGGAGTGGCGAAGGTAGAATTCAGTGTTACAAGCCGAGGTCTATGAGTGGAGAAGGTAGAAATCCGTTTTACTAGCCGAGGTCTAGAAGTGGAGCAGGTAGGATCAAAAGTAGAGCAACTGATCTTTCTGCAGCACCTGTGCGAATAATCCAGCCCTTTGAATCTGGCGCGGTCTTCCTAAGTATCGTGGAGGGACCGCGTCAGAAAAAAGGGGCGGGGCTGAGCGCCGTGAACCCGGAAGTGGGTTCCGGCGACGAAATACATGCCATGCTATACCTGACAATACCTTGCCCAATGCACTTGAAAAGGCTCTGTTCATGTGAGTTATGTACTTTTGTACTCCAGACAGAGATTCCCTGGCACTGTTTTGGGCATAGGACCATGTGCACGGTCGGTGATTTTTGGATAAGTTGGTCACCCAAATCAGGGCTATCAGGGTATGTAACTACTTTTGTGTGGGTTTTGTGTGTTTTAAGGTATTTTGGTGGGTTTGTACAAATGTATGTTTTTTATGTACTTGGAGATAATTTGATTAGATTAATACAGTTCCTGATCCAATTATCTCCCAGGCACAGATGAGAGATTCATTTTACTCCTTCATGAAGTCTTGGCTCATGTTTGGGGGATTGCTATAATCACTATACTCCCTTGGATCACAACACTTGCTCTAATAAGAGCAGCCTGCTTCGCTCTCTGGACTAAGAGAGGTCTACCCACTGGAAGCTGGATCCTTGTCTTGGGTCCAGGGTGGTTGGAGCGGTTTGGGGGGGATTTACGGTGGTTATGGTGTTTCAGTCCAGTGCTTATGGTGCTCGCAAAATCTAGGAAGCAGCGATTGCCGGAGGTACCCGATCGGGGCGCCAGGTGGTCCATCACCGAACAGAAATGGGCAGCAAGGACCTGGAATGGGCAGCAAGGAATGCAATAGTAAAGTAGGAGAAGGAGCAGAAAGGAATAGAAATGAGCAGGAAGGGTCAGCAAGGAGCAGAAAAGGTCAGCAAGGAGCAGAAAGGGTCTGCAAGGATCAGGAAAAGACAGAAGGAGCACAGAGGTGAAGAAGCAGCAGAAAGAAACAGAAAGGGTCAGCAAGGAGCACAAACCTAAAGTAGGCAAAGGAACAGAAATGAACAGGAAGGGACATCAAGGAGCAGAAAAGGTCAGCAAGGAGCTGGAAGAGGCAGAAGAAGCACAAAGGAAAAGTAGGATAAGGAGCAGAAATGAACAGGAAGGGTCAGCAAGGAGCAGGAACGGGCAGCAAGGAGAAGGAAGGTTCTGCAAGAGGCAGCAAGGAGCATGAAGGTAAAGGGGCAGAAAGAATCAGAAGGAGCACAAAGGTAAAGTAGGAGTAGAAGAAAAGGGTAGCAAGGAGCTGGAAGGGGCAGAAGTAGCGCAAAGGTAAAGAAGGAGCAGGAGCAGAAAGGAAGGGACAGCTATCAGCACAAAGGGACAGCAAGGAGCACAAAGGTAAAGTAGGAGAAGGAGCAGAAAGGGTCCGCAAGGAGCAGAAGGGGATCAGAAAGAGAAAGGAGCTGAAGGATGCAAAAGAAGCAGAAAGGTAAAGGAGCCAAGGAGGAGAGAAGACAGTGTCAGAAGAAAAAGAAGACGGTGTCAAATGAAAGAAGAAAAGGGGATTGGAGCAGGAAAGACAAGTGCAGTAAACCTTCCACTTTATTCTGGACACCACATCATACGGCTTTGGTACATGGGCCTGGCAGGGAAACTTTGGACCTTTTCATCTTCCCAGGTAAAAAAAATATCAGTGTTAATGTGTTCACTTTTATTCACGGAGTGCCGTTGGGTAGGGGTGTCGCTGATTGGCAATAGCAGTCAGCTGGCACTCAAAGCCAATCAGTGGCTCCCCATTCATAAAGTCAAACATTTTTATGAACCAGCGATTGGCTTAGAGCGTCAGCTGACCACTAGCCAATCAGCAGCACTAATGCCTGACATCAATCTGCACTTCCTGATACTCCGTTTCAGAAGCCGAATACCACTGAGCGACCTGGAGGTGGAGGAAGCCTTTGGGGTTAAACCATTTGAGAGCGGTTTAACCCCTAAACAAAAGAGAGTGCCCACGGTCCTCCTGGCATCATAGCATTTTCATTTAGAGGACTTGTTATGGTGACCAGAATGTTCCTTTAATTTGCTTAAAGGAACACTATAGTGTCAGGAATACAAACATTTATTCCTGACACCATAGTTGTCAAAACGCTTTTCACCCTGGCTTTATGTGACTATGCCCCTTCCCTTTCATGACACTGTCAAAAAGGGACCAAGCATCCAAGCAAAAGGGGACCCCCCCAGCCCCCCCCCAAAAAAATCCTGCAGACACATGAAAACTGCTACAATAACCCAAAGTTGTTTTGGTGCTTTAATGGATGTCCCCGTGCCATAAGTAGAACTTGAAATAGCAGGTTCTAGTATGGTGCATGGTGCTTATTTTGAAATCCCTGAGACGGCAAATTACCTTAGAATCAGAACAAGCCTTCAGGGTGTGCCATATTTGGCACCACACAGGACGTGCCACCACATTACCAGCAAATGGCTGGTACTGAAGTTCAGAGAACTCCACAGGTAGGATGTGGCTTGGTCTGCTGTCCACTTCAATCTCTTCAGCAGCACATGGAAGTTGCTCAGGAGTGCTCAGAGCCATGCTGTGCTATCCTTCTTAGCCTTAGAACTCTAGCAGCATTATAGTGAAACAGGCAGGGATTTAATGCTAAATAATGTCCCTGTCGCTTCCAGGAACAGCACTGCACTGCTGCCAGTTGCACAGAGTACTAAGGTAAGGCAAAGAAGGAAGTCACACAGCTGTCCTGGGCACTCACGTGCTGTAATGGCTTCAATACAATTATGAAAGAAGAAAACTGCGGGAGATAAGGAGCAAAAACTAGCGGAATTGGCTGGGGAAAGAAAAAATAGGGGCAGGCAAGAGAATGAAGAACTGGGAAGGTGGGAGAGGTAAAAACTATTGTGTATGTGGGCTAGGAAGAGGTAACTGGAGGTGCAAAAGAGAAACAAATGGGCAATTGAAAAAGATAACTAAGGGCCCAGGGGGAAATAGGGGGATATCTAATGGGGTTTATAACAATGTGAAACAATTACCATGATGCACATACTCACTTAAGAAATGTAATTTTTTTTTTTTTTTTTAAAAGACAAAACTTTGAATATATTAATCATACATTTGCTAAACTGTAAAGCTGCCTTAAAAGGATACTCTTACACCATAATCACCATAGCACACTAGTGATTAAGGTGCCATGAGTGAACTAGTTCAGCCTGGTGGTAATCTGTCAAATACCAGTTTAAAGCTCACCCACAATATTTCCATTGTTGGTAAAGCAGATGTTTATACTTACACATAATCATGCCAAGGGCTGAATTGTCTTGGCAAAGTAAGGGTTATTCTTACGCGCCAATTAAAGTCTATGGGAAATTTGCTATTCAGTAAGCAAAGTAAACATTTACTCTAACAGAATCCAGCCCCTACTTCAGACATAATTAGTTGAGAGTAACAGCTGATGGCTCTAGTCCAATGCATAATGTCCCAGCTTGGTATTTAGTTTGTATGATAATGAATGTGGAAGTATGAATACCTACTTTACCTTGCCAGCTAATAGCGGGTGGACTGCAGGAACGTGAAAGAAAGGTTAGTGTCAAACTATTCTTAAACATGTCGACAAATTACAGTTGGGTTGGGCCCTGGCACCATAACCACTTGAGTGTCCTTTTAAATGGTTTTATATTTACCCTGTAACAACAATTTAAATACCTTTCCAGTGTAGCTGCCACACTTACCCATTTTTACAGCAGTAATTACTTTATAAGTTTGATAAGTAATTACTTTATATAGGTTTTGTACATCCCGAGTCACTTTTTGTTGCAGTAACTTTGTAAGCAACGCCCAAGTCTGCACTGATAGAACAAGTGTGATTACACTATCAATAAATCTCCCCTTGATTATGCATACTCTGTATCAAAGCTTCACTATATCATTGGCAGATTATTTGCAAAACTATAGTAATGTATACAGATTTATCGAAGAAACTATCCAGCACCCCAATTTTTTTTTTTTATTCAGCAAGCTGTATGTCAGAAACCAGTAAACTTTTAGAAACAAAAACATTAGAGAGACACTATAGTCATTAAACGGTAGTTGTTCTGGTCAGCATAATCATTCCTTGCAGGCATTTTCATGTAAACATTGCCTTTTCAGAGAAAAGGCAGTGTTTACATTGCCCCTAGGAACGCTTCGAGTAGCAACTCCTCAGTGTGCATCACTGCCGTTCAGCATCTCTGCTAACCTTTGTTCATTAAATGCATTACTATGAGGAGGTGCTGATTGGCAAACCCAGCGTTTGGCCCTGCCCCCATCACGCCTCCTTGCCAATTTCAGCCAATCCAATGCTTTCCCTAAGGAAAAGCACTGGATTGGCTCAAATCATAAATTCTGATGATGTCAGCAAGGAGGCGGATTGGGGATGGTGCCGGGGCCTGCATCGGCGGACCCGCACAGCGCTGGAAATAAGGTAAGTTTTATCACGTTTTAAATGGGTTAAAAGGGGACAAGCCACCTAAAAGGTGGTTTTAGCACTATAGGGTGAGGAATACTAGCACTATTTAATTTGTCTTCCACATTGGAATTAGTGAAGGACACACCGATATTGGGGTACTGTGAAGTAGTGGAGGGTTTAACACAATATGGCCATATGGTGGAAGTGAATCCCAATATTTTTGTTTGCTGTGATAGGTGATTTTAAGTAGCCTTATAAAATTTTAAAATGCATTTTTATGTGTGCGGGGTTCCTTAATCTGTATTATACTGGGATCAGTGACAGAGGCCTTTCACTCCCACACCGGTACAGCAATGGTAAAACACAAAATATCTCTGCTGATCTGTTCCTTTAATAGCTGCATTCAAAGTGTCTGAAACAGCCTGCAGATATGAAGGGTTTTAGTAGATCTGCTATCGAATGCCATTGAACACAGAAAATCCATAGGTAAACAGAGGATAAAACTCACATCAAGCCCAGTGAAGCAATTATGTTAATTAAACTGCTAGAAGTGTTAAGACCAGCGTTCCACTATTGTTAGCTATAGAACCTTTTTCCTAGACAATTTAAAAAGATCATGTAAGTGTTTAAAGGAGTAACTGGTGTAAAATGAAAATTCTCAGAAAGGCTAAAGGAAAAGTGTAATAAACATATGCCAATGTTAGTCATCACTGTGTGCAAGGCTCTCCCTGGCTACAAGAAACAAGTAAAAACAAAAATGCATAAGAATGATGTGACAATTACTCAACTTCCACAATAAGTTGATGGCCAATGTTCCTACTGTCAGAAATAAGTAATCTCCGTATATTGAACAACATCTTACATATACAGTACAGATTTAATATATTATTCAGTAAAAAAATAAAAAAAAAATAGATTAGCGGCTGAAGATAGAAAATCAACAGCAAGAATGATTTTTCACCAAACTGAAATATTTGGTACCATCCTAGATAGCAATGACAAGCTCGGAGAGAGAAGGACTAACCCACCACCAGCACTCTCACTCAACCACCGGTCCAGGTTGGATATAATTTGATTGATCAGAACATTGATAGAGTGGAAGTGTTAATTCTGCATTATCAAAGTGGCTGAGTCTGGGGCGATTTTCAGCCTGTTTTTGGTCAAACTGCTCCTAAACAGTTGATACAAAGCTTGAGACTCCAATCCGCTGACTCTAGGCAGCATAACCACTACACAGAGAAATCTCAATGTATCTTTCCTGGTAAAATATTTTATAAATAAAAATGTAATCATTATGCTGCTTAAACTGCCCTTTTTTATATAAAGAATATGTATCTTCAGCTTTACTCTCTTGTAAATGCTCATAAATAAGCCTTTCTGCTAGACAGGTCATTCTCTTGCTGGATATGTTTTTGTTTTCGTTTTGATATCTCACATAAAAGATTGATAAGAAATTAAAAGGCAGTAAGGTGCACGTAACTAGCATGTCAAGTAAGCCTCCTAATTGGTGCAGGAAAAACAGTATTCACAGACACGCTGACTGCACCTTTGGTTTAAGCCACAGAACAGAATGTACAATTCTTCTATCCGCAGTCTGGTATTTATTACTCACTAAAAGTTCAAATAAATGCCCTTCGTGTGTCATGACCTCTCCCTCTACTGGGACGGGGACCACTGCGGCCCTGAAGTGTTGGATTTGGGTCTGCAAGTGTCCCCACTGGGTCAAAGTGTGGCCTGAATGGATGGAAGCGTCCAGAGGTGGGGCTTATGCCAGGAATTAAAGAAGTTATGGGATCTCCAACTAAGGGAAGAACCGGGCGCTCATCATACTCTCCACCAATAATTCCAGGTGGGAATGTGCTGGGTGGCGGAAATGAGCTGGGGTAATAGGGACTGGGATGGAAAGGGAGAGGATGTGGTACTGGAGGAATGAAGATCATGCGTCTTGATCGTAATGTCTCCCACTTCTGTCTGTGTTTCTTCTTGTAAAGCTGAAAAAACACCAACAATTTGAATTAATAGTTTTTAATAAATGTTTAAAATTATTTACTCAAAATATTAAAATATCAAAAAATATATCACCTAAAATATATTTTAAAAAACTATCAAAATATTACAAAATTAAAATATCTATTATAAATATAAAATATTTTGTAAAGTTTATCCAAACATATTTAGTAAACAAATAGTTTTTGTTTGTTTGCCCTCCCAGTGACATCCTCTCCACGTATAGTACCAGTACCCAGTCCCTAGCAGAGAGGTGTTTTTTTTTCCTATTATCTATATAAGGGGTAGCCAAAAGGGTAAATTAGATCCACTGATATTAACATGTTTTCCTTCAAAATGAATTGCAAGCTATTTACCATTTCTATTATCGGGCTGGCAAATGGGGGCCATTAAAATCGGCTGGCACACTCTAACTATCCCACCCCTTTAGCCCCAACCCTTGGACAACAGGCAGGTGCCTTCATATTATTTATTAAGGATGTGGGTTACGAGTGGCAAGCCAACTAAAGCGGCCATTGTTTATTCATATAATCCCCTAACTGCTGGTTATGGGTTTGGAATAAGTAGTGTCCACTGTGTCTGACCTACTCTACTACTTATTACGGATTCCCATCTCATGGCTAACAAGATTAAAGTTAAAAACAGATAACATTAGTATCTTGTAAGACTTTTTTATTGGACTAACGGAATTTTGTAATAAACTTTAGAGATAACCTGCTTTTCTCAAGTCTAACGCATTTCTGAGCAAAGACAAGATTAAAGTTATTAAGAATTGAGGGGCAGCAGACAGCTCAACTGTTCATAATTCCACACCACTAGGCAGGGCCGAACTGGCCCACCGGGATACCGGGAAATTTCCTGGTGGGCCACAGCAGGTGGTGTTGGTCTGACAGCCCTAATCATTGCTCAGGCTCCTGTAATCCCAGCCGGCCATGTGCGAGCTGTGCGACCGCACAGGGCCCCATGGGAGCAGGGGGAGCCAGGCGGCCGGCACAGCTCACACAAGGATCATAAAAAAAAAACACTATTGCGTCGGGGGCAGAGCTTAGTGTGACAGGGCGGCGCTTAGCGTGCAATGGGAGTGGGATTAAATGAGCCGGGTAACTGCAGCATGGGAAGCAGGAAGGAGTCCCTGCTTCCCCAACAACCTGCCTCCAGGAGCTCCAAGGGATCTGGAGGTAAGAAGCAGGTCAGTGTGTGTGTGACTGTGTGACTGTCTGCCTGTGTGTGTGTGTGTGTGTGGGACTGTCTGCCTGTGTGTGTGTGGGACTGTGTGTGTGACTGTTTGCCTGTGTGTGTGTGGGACTGTGTGTGTGTGACTGTTTGCCTGTGTGTGTGTGGGACTGTGTGACTGTTTGCCAGACTTCAACTCCCAAGACCGGGTGCACTACCAGGGTTCCAAACATCCAAATGGCTGTAATAGAAAGCTGCACTAACGGATTCCATAAAATGTAACTTTTAATCGGTCTTGTTAAAAAAAATTTTTTTAAAAATCAACGTTTCAGTCCTACTTGAGGACTTTCATCAGGATAATCCTGATGAAAGTCCTCAAGTAGGACTGAAACGTTGATTTTTTTTTTTAACAAGACTGATTAAAAGTTATATTTTATGGAATCCGTGAGTGCAGCCTTCTATTACAGATATATTTCACACACTACATAGCACAATGACTTATGGGGCTGGCATAGATTTTTTTCCAGGGCTGCTTCGTATCCCCAGTCCAGCCCTGCCACTAGGTATGGGTAATAGGTAGAAATAGAGCCCTAGCCTCTCTGGGCGTAAAAATTGGTGGAAAGCTGTATCTGCCTACAAGAGGATTTATTAAACTATTCATAAGCTAAGGAGGGTTAGGTAAGGAATTAAGATCGTTTGTTCCCTATTTTTTCATAAACCCCATTACAAGTAGGTGGCTAGTAGAAATAGGCTACTTGCCACATGCAATATATCCCTGCACTTCCCCCCCTTGTGAAATATTTTGCTGTAAAAAATGATCTATCACCTTATCATCAGCAATATGACTACTCAATTTATTGCACATCCCAAAGATTTCTATTTGGAAAATCAGATGCCATAAATTGCACCAGTAATTATTTATGAAATGTGGTAATTTTATTAGGGCAATAAGGTAGTGAACATTTTATCACTTCATATTTACACTGAAATGCTACAAATAACATACAAATACACACTTACCTCTTTCCAGTCTGTGTCCTGGCTCCTGGGAATAGGATCTAAAGACAAAGACAACAGTTACTACAGAAGTGAGAGTAAACTGTCTATAAACCATAACGATCTCTTCAATTATATTTACAGAGCAACAGATAATCACAGCACTTCTCATGTCTATCATAAAGCAAGTGTAAGGAAATTTGTAATTCCTACAAGGCATTTTCTATTGGCAAAATCAATATTCATCTATTTAATTTACAGTTGTTATATTTGAGTACACTGACATTTCTGCTTGACATAAAGTATACAGACAACACTTTGCATTGTAGACAAACTCAGTAGAGTGTTCTAATATTAATTATGTCAGTCTTCACAAATGTACACAAACATTTTCAAGTTGATTTATATAATGTTACAAGCTGTGCCTATTTTAAAGGGGGCTGCCTAAGCACCATATCCACTACTATCTGTAATGGTTTCAAGAGTCTCCTGGCACTCTCCCCTGGTAAGTTGTCGAAGTTTCAAAGTTTTCTAACGGCTGACATCTGGATCCCCTGAATCCCACTGGTTCAGCCTCTGATATAGCTAAAGTATAAATTTCCCTCTCCCACAGATATATCTATCTATTTAGTCTCTTTTTAAAAGGAATTCGCAAGCTCAAAGCATTACATTTTATCTAGTTAGAAGTTAGGCTAATGAATTCTGTCCAAATATGAGCAGAATTTAAATCACTAATAGAGAAGTAGGAACTTCTGTATTAGCAATATCAAAACAGCAAACCTGATCCATACAGCAAGGAGAGTAACCTATATATATAAAAAAACACAACACTTTGGGCACAACCCAGCTCAAAAGTTCACAAAATCTTTTTCTGATTGGAAGGTACGCAGTGCACCGTAGCCAATTAGAGATCATTATGAGGTGAGCTGCTGATTTGGGGCCACCCCCCAGCCAATCAATGTCACTATTATTTTAACAGTAGTTCAAAGCTATGTTGACGTAAAAGGGGCAGATAAAAGAAAGGTTATTGGCTGAGGGGCAAAATCAGGTCATCACACTGAGCTCGAACTGCTGCAGCACACATGCACCATTGGAGGCTTGGGTGTTGAAAACAGCCCAATTCATACAACTATTAATTTGCTAATAGGTACATTACACCGCTTAGTTAAAGGGACACTATAGTCACCAGAACAACTACAGCTTATTGAATTTGTTCTGGTGAGTAGAATCACTACCTTCAGGCTTTTTGCTGTAAACACTGTCTTTTCAGAGAAAATGTAGTGTTTACATTACAGCCTAGTGATAACTTCACTGGCCACTCCTCAGATGGCTGTTATAGGTGCTTCCTGGGTCATGGCTGCCTAAAATGCATCCAAACATTCAGTGTCTCCTCACTCTGCATGCAGACACTGAACTTTCCTCATAGAGATTCATGATTCAGTTCATCTCTATGAAGAGATGCTGATTGGCCAGGGCTGTGTTTGAATTGTGCTGGCTCTGCCCCTGATCTGCCCCCTTGTCAGTCTCAGCCAATCCTATGGGGAAGCATTGTGATTGGATCTTACTACAATTTCTGATGATGACAGCAGACTGCTTGTTTTTCTGAGGCAAACAGCATGCAGAGTTACAGCTTCAGGCTTGCATACAGTAAGATTTTGCTATATTTATAGAGGCATGAGGAGCCAAGGGGACTGGATGGTGGTTTTAACACTATAGGGTCAGGAATACATGTTTGTGTTTCTGACTCTATAGTGATCCATTAACTCAGCAGTTCTACTCATGTGACGATTGGGAACTAACGCTGGAGGACAAACTGCATATGGACAGGAGTTAATAAGATAATATAAGCAGACAGAATGAGAGGCTCCTGATTACTGGAGCCTTTTTTTTGTCACAGAGTGGTCAGCCAGCTGCAGCACGTGCCTGTGAAGGCCTGGCAAAGTGCGGTCTTTGAAGCTATCACTATAACCACAGCAGAATATGTTTTGTTTTTTCATGGGCAAGAATTGCCAATTTCATTTCTGACACATACAGCTGTAATTCATAAGGAATGTACTGTAAACACACAGAAGCAGCATTCTGAAAATGACAGGTAAGATGAGACAGAAAAAGCCAAAATTAAAGGGAAACTATAGTGCCAGGAAAACAAACTCATTTTACTGGCACTATAGCTCGTGATTCAGAAGAGGTTAATAACCCCTTCTGACACATACTAGAGTCCAGCGCCGATGTCCCTCTGCGCTGGCTCAGCTCCGCCCATCCTCATCCCCCACCGACGTCTGGGAAGACCTAATGTGCATGCGTGGCAATGGCCGCTCTTGCATTAGGATTTCCATGCTTTCAATGCTTTCCTATGGTGATTCCGGTGACGCTGGAAGTCCTCATGCAAAGTTGTCTAAGCAACCGGAAGTCCCTCTAGTGGCTGTGTGGTAGACATCGACTAGAGGAGGGGTTAACTCTAGCAGGTAATTTTGCAGTTTATAAAAACTGCAATAATAATAACTCTAGGGTTAAGGGAGTTTGCACCCAGACCACTTCAATGAGCTATAGTGGTCTGGGTGCCTACAGTGTCCCTTTAAGAAAAAGAAGCACATATACACTGAGGCAATTAGACAATGGGAAATAAAGAGACAGAAAGTAAAAATAACAAAGCACCAGATAAAACTGATACATGCTGATTCACTCCAGAGAGTGACCTTTTTACACACAGATAGAAAATACAGTATATGCATTTACAGATTTTTCCATTTTAGACATCACTTTCCCTTAATATTGCCCGTTACTGTCAGTCTCCTTTATGTTGAAAATGAAAATGCTTGGCAAAGTAGTCACCTCACCTCGGAAATCTCGCATGTAAAAGAATCGCCACAGTGAGGGGTCTTCAGTATCGGCACATAATTCTCGGCAGGAGGCAGACAGAGAGAGGAGAGACTGCACATCCAAGAGTCGGAAAACACGCAATTTTAATTCCAGGGGGAGGACCACCAGTCCAAACATGTCCGGGAGGTTTAGTACTAGGGTAATTAAAGTGGCAAAGAATACGTAAGAGGGGTGATTGGTTAGTGACACACAGTTAAAGTGTTTACATTAAAGAGGAACTTCACACCTGATGATCTAATCAATAGAGCAACTATTCATATATCTTAGTAATATTGGTTAAAACTACACGTCCTTTTGTACATTATACTAACAAGAGCTAATAAAGAGGCATGAAACTAGCACCACTTCCTCTAAAGAGTTATGTATAAATGCAAAGTGAGGAAGTAAATGAGAAGTGAGTTGGTAAAAAATATCCATTTCATGACAGACAACATTTCAGGACAGTCATTAGAAACAGTGCTATCTGTAAACAATTGCAGAAAGTTCTCAAAATTCTCAAACAAAAATAAATAACTTGCAAAAATATTTGCTAGTTCAACATTTCATTCATGTACACAAATAAAAAATACCAGGTTCCCTTAGGAAGTCAGGTAAGCAAAAGAATAAAAAGAGAGACGATACCTTGTCGAGTGGCTGCAAGTAAAGGGTACACCAGTTGGTCTTTAAACAAACGTGATAATTTCTGAAGGTCTTTATACACAGAGGCGACATTGTTATCTGGAAAAACAATTAAGCAAACAGTCTCCATATGAAAATTGAAGTGAACCTCTAGCGATTTGTGAAACCTATTGCAGTTGATCCACCATATAGGAACTCTGCTAAAACAGTGAGAGATTTCCTTGCCACTTATCTCTAGAACTGACCTCCAGTTAATACTGTTCTCGAGATAAATGGCAAGGCGTATTTTTCACAATTTATTTTGTGCTTTACACTTGTTATATGTTTTATGTATATTAAATACTACACTATAAAAGTGTTTTGTTTGTTCTCTTTCCTTTCATATATACTACCTGAGAGTGCTTCCACGTCAAGTAATTTAAAAGTGCTTTTACTTCCAATGTTTTAAGATAACACGTTTTGGATGCACTTGCAATTTATGATTGCGTGAACACGTTATAATTGCACAAAATTTGGCGCCAAAGACCTTCAGTTTTTGTACATATATGGTGTTTGGAATTGTGAAAGACAGTTCCATCTTTTGGCAGCATTTATTAATTTTTACACTGCTTCACTTTGCCAAGTTTTCACCTTTTTTGATAAAACCGTTTTATTCATTTAGTTTAATTTAGTAAACCAAGAAGTGTACTCTGCTTCACGTTATCCTATTTTTCAGTAACAGAGACAAAGTAGAATTTCCAGAATTTTGTCATCTTACTGTACCCTGAAAACACCAGCAATTGAACACTGGAACAACAGTGATGAGGAGGCATTTGTATACAGAGTGTGTATGTATGCATATCTCTGAGTCTTTCTGTCTGTGCATGCATTATGTTTCTTTCATTACATGAGGGTGTCTACATCTGTCTCTTGGTGTGTGTTGTGCATGCTTCGGTGCATGAGTGCCTATATATGGATAAATGCATTTGTGAAAAACTAAACAGATACAGGTTTCTACAAAGCACTTCAAAACAAGCAATCACCAAAGAAAGTTAATTTTTTTGATTTTCACAGTGAGAAGACGCCAGCGTCCATAGGAAAGCATTGAGAATGCTTTCCTATGGACTGGCTGAATGCGCGTGCGGCTCTTGCCGCGCATGCGCATTCAGCCGAGGAGGAGGAGAGTCCCCCGCCTGGCGCTGGAGAAAGAGGTAAGTTTAACCCCTTCCATCCCCTAGAGCCCGGTGGGATGGGAACCCTGAGGGTGGGGGCACCCTCAGGGCACTATAGTGGTCCTTTAATGCCATACAGGGCAAAATGAGCATACTCAGGTGTGTTTTTGGACTTTACCAGCAAGCTGCTAAACTGTGACTAGTTGGTGTCTGTAGTGGCAACTGTTATTAGTGTTGAACTACAAAAATTTAGCAACAAGGCTGTAAATCTGGTGGTAATTTGTAGCAACTACAAGCTACCGGCTGGTTTTAACTTGAGACCAACAAAACGAGCAATAAGTTAAGTTCAGCGTCAAGGGTGGAGTCTAAGTGTATCCAAAGGCAGAGTCATCTGAGGGTGAAATCAGGACGGTGGGGCTATGAAGGGCATACAGTGCATTAAGTTATGGTTTGGATTCAAACTTTTGGAAAAGATATCGACTCTAGTAAAACAGTCTTACCTTGTTGTGGGAATGAAATGTACAAATCGGTGGAAACCTGCAGCCTTTTGACACTTTTCATTTCATTGTTAATCTTTAGAGTTCCTACATAAAATATACAAAGCTCAAGTCAATGACATACATTAAAAGGACACTAAAGTCATAAGAAAAATGTATCTTAATTAAGCAGTGTTTTCGTATAGATTATGCCTCTGCAGTCTGACTGTTTAATCCTCTGACATTTAGGAGTTAAAGCGGCACTGTCATGCAGAACTTACCTCCCCCCCCCCCATCGGTTCCTCTTCTCTTCCTCTCTTAGGATCTGTTCTTCTTTTCTTCCTATCTGATCAAATTTTCTTTAAAACCTAAGACAAGGTAGGGACTCTTTTGTTTTATATATTTTTCCTACGCTTGACCAGCTTTGACCCAGTGGAGGAACTAAGTCCACTCCACTTCCTGTAGTCAAAGTAATTTTCCCACAATACTAATACTACTAAAGTGCCCCTTAGTGGGGCACCAATAAAAATAATTAAGGTAAATCTTGAGCCTTGCAAGTAACCAATCAGGTAAGGCTCAAGATGTTCCTGTCAGAGAACTCTTATTGGTTGGCTTAAAGGAACCCCTCCCCTTCAGCAGCTTACCTTAATCCAGCGCCGGGCTTCCTCGGCGCTGGTTACCTCTCCTCCCCCGTCCGACATCTGCTGAGCCGAATGCACATGCGTGGCAAGTGCCGCACGCACATTCAAAGTGTCCATTCAATGCTTTCCTATGGACGCTCTGCGCGATGGAGGCGAAATGTGCCTCCAGAGTCGCAGAAGCGCCTCTAGTGGCTGTCCGGAAGACAACCACTAGAGGCTAGATTAACCCCAAATGTAAACATAACGGTTTCTCTGAAACTGCTATGTGTGCATCTGAAGGGTTAAAACCTGAGGGACCTGGCACCCAGACCACTTTATTATGCTGAAGTGGTTTAGGTAACTAGAGTGTCTTTTTTTTAGCATCAAGAATGTTTTTTTTTGGTGGGGGGGGGGTTGGCACATTTATTTTTTGCGCTTGGGTTTTTTTATTTTGTTTGATGGGAATTATGGATTTTTATGTGGCCCTTTTTGGGACTAAAATCTTTTTTTAGATAAAAGAAGACATCTAATGGTAAGTATGATTTTATTTTTTTTTAAAGGTATTTAGGTTTATTGCATCTCCCTTCACTAGTGTAGGGTGAGGGGGGTAGGTAGGCTTTTATTTTATTTGAGGGTGGATGACTAGGGGCTTGGGGACCCCTTGTCACCGTGGGGTTTACATTTAGCCCCCACCCGTCATCCATGGGTGGAGGCTGGGGGGGACAATAGGTCCCCCACTGTCACTAGAGTCCTCATCTGCCGCTCATGGGTGGGGGCTGCGTGGACAAAAAGCCCTCCCCTATTGTAACTTAGGGTCCCCATCCATTGCTCATGGGTGGGGGCCTGGAGGGGGAATATTAAGTCCTCCCCTTAATTGTCACTAGAGGTCCCACCCACCACTCATGGGTGGAGGCCGGAAAGAGGGAACAATAGATCACCCCCCTATTGTAAATTAGGGCCCCCAACCACCGCCCATGTGTGGGGGCAGGACCATAGATCCTCCCCCATTATAACTTAGGGCTCGCACTCGCAGTTCATGGGTGGGGGACTGGACAATAGGTCTTTCAGCCTTTTAGTAAGTACCGTGGGAATTAGGGAGCTATCTATTAAGCGGCTGCAAGATGCAGCCGTGGCACGAACAGGATCAGAGTTTTATGCATTCGATCCGAACAAAGATAACCGAATTGCGTTCTAACACGAATGGACAAACTGTTCTCATTCTGTTAGGATGAAAATCGGTAGTTTCGCCGGTGTTTGATTGGCTAATGAAGCAGCAGGAGAAAATGTAGGAGAAGTGAGTTTTGTGGGAAAATCTCTTTGACCACAGGAAATAAAGCGGACTTAGCTCCTACTCTGAGTCAAGGCTGATCAAGAGTAGGAAAAATACATAAGACAAAATAGCCCCTACTTTGTCTTATGTTTCAAAGAAAACTAGATCAGTTAGGAAGAAAAGAAGAACAGATCCTGAGAGAGGAAAGGATTGGGGAAAGGTAAGTTTGGCATGAGTGACGCTTTAAATCACTTTTGTTTCTGTCCTAGTGATGGAAGTCTCTCTGCAAAAGATTATAGGCTTGTGAGTTTAACATCTACAGTGGAGAAATTATGTGAATAGTTATTGAGGGGAAAATATTCAGGAATAGGTTTTGCACATAACATCAGAAGGAGTCAACATTGTTTTTAGGATGATCGTCTAATGGAAATGGGTTCTATTACTGTACAAATTAAACAGATGAATTTTACCTGCACAGTATTTTAAAGGATCACTATATGGTCAGGAACACAAACATGTATTCCTGACCCAATAGTGTTAAAACCTGGGCCCCTCATGCCTCCATAAATATAGTAAAAATCTTACTGTATTCAAGCCTGAAGGTGTAACTCTGCATGCTGTTAGACTCAGAAAAACAAGCAGTCTGCTGACATCATCAGAAGTGATAGCCTGATCCAATCACAATGCTTCCTCATAGGATTGGCTGAGACTGACAAGGAGGCAGATCAGGGGCAGAGCCAGCATGATTCAAACACAGCCCTGACCAATCAGAATCTCCTCATAGAGATGAATTGAAACAATGAATCTCTATCAGGAAAGTTCCGTGTCTGCATGCAGAGGGATGAGATACTGAATGTTTGGATGCATTTTAGGCAGCCATGACCCAAGAAGGATCTATAACAGCCATCTGAGGAGTGGCCAGTGAAGTGATCACTAGGGTGAAGGTAATGATTCTACTCACCAGAACAAATGCAATAAGCTGTAGTTGTTCTGGTGACTATAGTGTCCCTTTAAGTTTACAAAATGTGGCTAGTATAAGAAGCAATAAAAGTTTTATTATTCTAAGCAATATTAGCAATAAAGTTCTCTGTAGTGGTTTTGGTGCATTGAGTCTTTAGGTGCCACAGTGTGTGACATCCATTTTCCTAGTGCCAGTAGCTATGTGTTGGAGATGTAAAAGTGAACAAAGCATCAACTCACTCATTTTTTGGTCCTGCCCAATGCTACAGCATTTTTCTTCTAATATTCATTCCTTAATTCAAACTGCTACTCCCTCCGGATCCTGCCACATTTTTTTTTATTGAATAGGTTTCCTGCATATCTGCAGGCCCACCCAAGAAGCTATTCATGTAGATCCTCAAAACAACCCTTACAAACATATCCCAATGCTTGGAAATCAACCTGCCTTTCATCTGTGTCAGCAGTAAAATATCACCTAAACTGGTAAAAAATTATATGAGTTAAGGTCTTCAAAATTCTGGGAAAGCTAGAGACTTTCAAACCAATTTGGGACTCATGGAAGTAATGTCTGATAGCTATTCTAGACATCACCAACAATCCTTGGCATACTCCACTCAGGTATTTTCTAGATTCGATACCCTTCTAACACTCCCTTGCTTTCTTACCTTACTTAATCTTTCCTGCTATTTCTATCTGATTTTTGTACATTTTACTTTTTGACATAATCAATTAACTAACATGGAAGAGTCTTGATGTCATTATGGTATATTTAGCATTTTGTAAAATGCCTTTCAGAACTTTATTTTATTATTCCCTCTTTATCAATGCATTTTGGAAAAAAACCTAAACTTAAATAACATAATACATCGAGCAAAAAAAAAAGAAAAGAAAATCAGATTTTCCAGCTATCTGCAGCTTAATCGGGTCTCCTTATGCATAGCCTCGTTCTCACACCATGTCTTCCAGGATCAGCCTCTCCCTCTCAGTATGTACTCAGCCACTGGCAGAAGTGTGAGCTGAGCTGCTGGAAGGCATAGACTTCGGACTAGTGAAAGAGGACGCATGTGTTACTGCCTGTGTATTTTTTATCTTATAATGCTTTGTTTCAAATCTCCAGGTCACATCTTAGCAAAGGGTGCAGAATATGCTTTATGGATGGTCTCTCTATAAGCAATTCCTGCATTTGGAAATTTACTGACTACATCTTTTTAAAACTAGGATACTATGCCAATGTTACCTGCTTTCCTTTAAAAAGTTAACCTGTGTGCAATTCATTCATTGCGCCTGATTTTTCCATTACATACTAATATGTCACACAGTGATATGAGGAAGGCTGTGTGTGGAAGGTAAGCTACGAGGAACGAATGTCCCTTACACTGCAGGATTCTAGCTTAGGGCTCTGGAGAGTAACATGGATTTTTAAAAACAGTAATGTAATATGATCCTGATCTAGTTTTTACCCTTCTGGAAATGCATGTTATTGGCTAAAATTTAACTCCGTTAATCCTTTCCATATCTTGCGTGTAGGGTTGCCATATCCACCATATCTTCCAAGACACACAGAATTCCTTCATGTTAATGACACCGCTGAAAGTGCTGCCCGGCAGTAAATGTAATGTACATGCTGCAGGATTCTTGAATTACTAATCATTTCATTTCATACAGATGCTCAATTCTTTATATTGATGTGCATCAAGCATATCAAAATCGCGGCCCACAATGAATATCATT